TACACAGGTGTACATATCTGGTCAAACCTTCATAGTAAAATGATGGGTCGTAGTTGGACTGACCCCTTCTAATAAATCAGCCAGAGTGTGTTTGTGGGATTTTGTTCTATTTGATAATTAGATTTATAGGACAATATATGAAAAACTACACAGTTTCTGATATGTATATACCGGAAAACATACCGTACTTCATCATTGGCAGAGCTTTCAAATGATACTAAACACGACAACTTTTGGTAAGTTTGATTTTTTGACCTTTTGTGTCATGTGACTTTATATATTGGTCTATATCGCTGTAAATATGTATTATGTTGTTTAGGTGTAATGACAATAAATGATCAGTGTATAAGGCCAGGGACGGATCCAGGATTTGAAATAAGGGGGTTCATTTTGCCATAAACCCAAAAAATGAAAGGGGTCCGGGGTCCACCCATGGGAAAATTTTGATTCCTAGATGGCCGGAAATATGAGCTTTCCCGACTTCTGAGGTGTCTTTTAATGACCTTTAATTTCTTCAAAATTCAAGGTTTTACCCGTCTTAAAAAAGGTCAGCTGATTTTATCTCATTCTTAGGCCTATACCAAAGAAAATAAATCAAATATAAAATCAATATATTATTAGGCCTATATCATACAAGTCTCACGCATCCGGCGTGAACCTCACGTTTTTCGAACAAATTTCGAACAAACCTCAAGCTCAAGCCACTCCTCTAAAATCTTACGCTTTTCCACTAATTCAAGCTTTATTTGATTAAACCCAAACTTTTATCGAATAATATAAACCTTCGCAATTCTATATTTTATCAGGCCCAGATCATCGAAAATTCTATCGTTCCTGTTATAGCTACTCATTTTTAAGGTTTAATTTCAGCACTAGAGATATTCAGAGTACCCAGAGAGCATCTAAGCCCAACATTTTTCGGGGCCTTTGGCCGGGCCCTCGACTCACGTCAATTGCGTTATTTCCTGTTAAATCTCAAGCCTCTAGCTTTCTCCAACTTGGCATGTATTCTATATTCCAACATTATTGAGTAGTTGGATTCTTTCTTCCATAGATCGATGAACTTGATAGGCCTGAAGAATACACTTTCGTACATAATTATTACGACGTCGAGCCAAAACAATGTTTCTAATGTATTTAATTGAATGCTAGTTGGGCTAAGCCTATATATATATATAATACGCATAATTTATAAAACATAAATTAACCTAATTTTCTGATAAACAAATTAAATAACATTAATTAAATGAAATATATTTAATGATATAGGCGTATTTGCTACCATCAACCGTAACACACAATTTGAAATAAAAATAGGCGTATGATGACATAATTAATGTCGAAATATTGAATCCCAACACGATGGCGTGTATTTCAATACATGTAGTATGTATTATACTTTCTTATCTGAAATTAATCAGTGGACCTTTCAGTAGTAGGCGTATCGTAGAAGAGAATCACTAATGGGCATTGACCTCCGAAGTACTGTAGAAGTACAGAAATAATAGAGTGGTTTTTTTTTTGTGGATGAAATATGGGTATATAGAACGACTAGGAAAAAGGTGTGATATCGAAATTCCAAAAGAGGAAACATGTTATAAAGATATCCTGTTTTCTTTCCTGTATTTCTTATGTAAAACCGGATTTAAACTTTCAAAACGTTTCTACAATGTGTATTTAGACTTCATGAATACGGTATTGCGATGCATCAATAGTCAATCAGTCAATTGATTGAATAACGCTTTTGTATCATCGGCACACCTTTTCAGTGTAACCTTACAATGACTAGACAATAATTAATTGATATACAGAAAACATAAAAAAAAAAATATGTTCTCTCTTAAGTATAATGAAAATAACCTGATGGAAAAAAAAATCAATAGGAAAACTAGGAGGTACAATGCATCGAAAAAGGGGGGGGGGGGGGATAGCCTGGGCCGGGAAAAACTCTCCAGGTAAAAAAAAATCAGTGGGGAAAATTAGCAGGTGGCAAGTAGCTACCGTAATAGTGCTATATTCTGTAAAGTAAAGCCTCAAACCACCTCGATTTTGAGTCTACTAAATTTAAAAATCTTCCCAGGCTTTTGCAGATATAGCCAGAACAAACTTAATATTTGGAGTTTTCCTGATAGCAGATTATTTTTTTTTTAGATTTCAATGAGTTAACCCGACTCAAAGACAATTTCTCCCATATTACAGAAACTTCTTTGTTGAAACTAATACAGAAACAAATTCTTTTGTATCTAAAATATTTTTTTTTAAATGAATTAAGAAACAGAACATTCAAGATTAAATACATTAAAAATAACAAGCTTCTGTTCTTTTGACTTTTGGTAGTTAATATATATATTTATATATATATTTTAGGAATTTCGTTGTCTTTATTTATAATGAGAAAATTATTTATCAAAATATTTAATTTAATTTGTTTTTATTTTTGGATAGCTTCATGGATAATCAACATTGTGACAATGAACGCGCAAGACCACACGCGCCGCCAAAGCTTTTGGTGAATTGAATCTCAAACGCGATAACGAAAGCTCTCTAATGACTCAAGTTACTGCATGATTGTTTCATAATTTTAATAAAACTAATTTCTTCCAATTTTAAATATATTTTCCCTGAATTTGTGATTATTCGTCGTCATGCGTGGACTAAATGCGTGACAAATTTAAGATCACGCATGTGTTTCTGCCAAATGCGTGTTACATCCAAAATCACTTTGAAGCGGGACCGTCCCGCACGATGCGCGAGAAACGGTTGGTAATGCATTTTGTAAGCCAGGACCCAATAGTATTTTTTTACGTTTCTTTCCGAACCCCTTGAACCCCCACCCCCCTGGATCCGCCACTGCTTTCCATTGACACCAATCATGACCATGTTTTATGTGATGCGTCAGCCATCTTGAAATTCGAAATGGCGGCCGATGACTTTGGGGAAAAATGGCACCTAACTTTTTTGAATTCAGCGCAGTAAAAATTATAAAATTAGTCAATAAAATCTATTTTTTCTCAAAAATCTATCTGGATTACATAGAAAGCTAGCTTATATACTCGTTCTTATTTTATGTACATTTTAAGTAAGTATATTTTGCGATTATTTTTAAACAAATAAACACCTATTTTTTAATTATGTTCCATTCTGGCTTGAGTGACAGTAGTTTTTATATGTCTAGTTTGTTGCCTGTCTAGAAATTATGAGTTTAGACACCAAAATCATATCTGTAGCTTATTTAGTTTCAATTTTATGCATATTTTAGATAATTTGGCGGCCATTTTGAAAATGGCCGCCATTTGTATACAAGGAGTAAAATCAAGTGTCAACAGGGCTTAGGGTGACCAGAAGGGAATAATTAGGATATCTGGCTATGTGGATTGCTTCTAACATTCCACTCCCCCTAATTCATTTTTTTCAGATTTTTTTTCTAGTCTAGTCCGTCATTCCGCCGTTTTACCGATTATCTTATTAAGTTGTGACTAAATGTAGGTAGGAGCAATATACCTAGCTAACAATATTTTTCATTAACGTTACAGTTTGGTTTCCAAAATTTTTTTTAGAGCCATAAATACAGATTTAAGCTTTTGAGTAATATTTGTAAAAGTGGTAGCAAAGTTATGTTCTGGCATAACCTCAACGTTTTAACGTTCGTGATGTTATAATAACGTTTTGTTTTGACTCGATGTATAATATATCCACCCCAAAGTTAATAAGCTTGCCGTATAGACTACACATCAATGCTAGACCTACAAGATACAATGAATTCATTATTGTTCTTGCATAAATATTTATGGTTACAAAGCGTTTTACAGATTTGAATAAATAAATTGACTTCCAAGTTCTATTTTTATGGTAAATCTGCTTATTGAATTAAGAGCTTCATAGCATCTTGAAAGGGTAATGCACGTATGTAACTGTTACCTGGTGACAACTGTGGATTTGGAGTGGACATGTAGCTTGGTGGTTAAGATGCCGAGTTCTTCCAATTTCGAGATCCTTGGTTCAAATCCTGTGATTGCACATAATTTTTTTTTCTCACGACTAAAGCACACATTACCATAAGCCTCGCAATGAGGCCTCGAAAAAACATCACGTTATTTTATTTTCGAGGGCCCCTGGATGTCAGCCGACATTTTGGTAGTGAAAATATTAAGCGTAAGCATACGATTTTTGAATAAGTGCTGACCTTGTTACATTTAAAAACGATATGTTTAAAAATACAGCTGTGGATTTACGACTAAACCACACATTACCATAAGCTAAGCCTCGCAATAAGACCTCGATAAAACATCACGTTATTTTATTTAGGAGGACCCCTGAATCAGCCGACTTTATAGTAACCTCTATAAATATGGAAAACATTAATCGTAAGCTTATCTATTTTTTTTTTTTTTTTGATATGTGTTGACCTTGTTAAATTAAAAAACGATATGTTAAAAAAGACAGCTGTGGATATTGAAAGTGTATTGTTTCATGCTTGGTTAACTACCCGTCATTTTCGGATCCGGTCAATTACACAATTACAACAAGAATATTGGTACGAAATTGGTAGAGGTCAACCTGATTTATAGCACAGTAGCAGAATGGTGTTTTACGAGGAGATATTGTCTTTAGCCAATATTCCAACGATAATTTTGTTGTCCATTTTATTTCTTTTTTCATTAAGACTTCTCATGTCTAACAAGCTACCACCAGGTCCTCTTGGCTGGCCGATCGTCGGATCTATCCCGCACATCGACAAGGAGTCGTATTTGACTTTCGACAAATGGGCAAAAGAATATGGCGACATATACACAGTGAAGTTAGGCTGGACCACAGCCGTGATTTTGAATAGCTTTGACGCTATAAAAAGTACACTGAAAGATCAAGGAGATAAGTTTATTGACAAACCACGTTTACCTATCATAGAATTGGGTTTTACACAAGGTAAGAATATTCGGTGGCGGGCCACCCATGGAGCTGCATTCACCTCTGACCCAAACCGAAATTATGTCCCTATCCTTACAGGGGTGGAGCCAGCGGGGGGTCGGGGAGAGCTGTTTCCCCCCCCCCCCCGGTCGGGAGAAAAAGCACAATTCGTTGGGGAGAAAAAAAAATTATGTTATTTTATCTTATTTTCACATATTAGTAGACTCTAAAATCGATCAAAAAAGTCTTTGAAACC